TTTGTGTGTTGTATGCCCTGCCCTTAGATGTGGGATAATACTGGCTACATCTGACTCCTTGGGTCTCCTTTGCTTTTATTGGACCAGTTCCTAACTCCTGTTATCTTCTTTTGGAATTGTCAAATTGTTTAATCCTCTTACTACCAAATTATTCTTTAAAACAGACTCTGTACATCTCTTTTGTGATCTGTTACTTTTTCCCTTGTCAAAAAAACCAATCTTTATTTCCAAATTCTTGATGGGGTGGATAGGGACTATCTTTTCATAGGTTGGATGCATTTACATTTTTGATTATTGTGTGTTAAGTAAAGATTTGGCAACTGCTGGTATTTATGCCAGTGGGTTGGCAAACCAGGATATTTTATCCAATGCTGTGGATGATGTTACCTGCAGAGAGGTTACTGTTGAATTTGAAATTGTACTTGGATAACACATTATCATTTGCTTTTATAATTCAGTAGTTTCTGACTCCTTTTAATATGATCAGATTTCAAGTTAGGTATCTTTTAGCTGACTGTTGAATATAAGTGATTGCTACTAATTCTCAGTAAGCTCAACACGTCTAAATTGATTTGATTTTGCAGAGTTAAAAAAGCCAGTTGTTTTTTTTTTGTTTTTTTTTTTTTAAATACAGAAGGGCTATAAGACAAATTTGGGGAAAAGATGCAGTGGAACAGAGGTAATTACTTTTTTTCAAATTCAAAAGGATTTTACTTTCATCACTTACTTTTAAATATTAGAAATGGAACAAGAAGTGTTTCTTGAAAACAAACTCCTAAAGAAGTGTTTCAAATATACAAAAACACTTCCACATATTCACAACTGTGTTATTGCTGTTTAACAAATCACCCTAAAATTTAGTGGCTTAAAACAACATAGTGTGTATGTGTGTGTGTGTATGTGTGTGTGTTTTAAGAGATAGGGTCTCACTCTGTTGCCCAGGTAGGAGTGCACTAGTGTAATCGTAGCTCAGTGCAGCTTCAAACTTCTGGGCTCAAGGAGTCCTCCCACCTCAGTCTCCTGAATAGCTGAGACTGCAGAGGTGCGCCACCACTCCAGACTAATTTTTTAAAAGTTTTTTGTAAAGCTAGAGTCTTGCTATGTTGCTTGCTTAGTCTGATCTTAGACTCCTGGCCTCAGCCTTGCAAAACACTGGGATTACAGGTATAAGCCACCATGCCCTGCCTAAAACAAGACAGTTGTTTAAGCCTCACAGTTGCTGTAGGTTAGGAACGTAGGCATGGCTTTCCTGAGTCATCTGCTTCAGGGTCCTTCAGAAGCTGCAGTCATGATTTCAACTGTGGCTGCCTTCATCTCAAAGCTTGCTTGGAAAAGGTCTGTTTCCAAAGTTACTCATGTGGTTGATGTCAGAATCCATTCTTCGCTGGTTGTTGGACCGAGGATCTCAGTTCTTAATTGTGTGTAAATGACCCAGGGCAGAGGCAGAGTTCAGTGGGAAGCTGTGGAGCAACAGCTTTGTATATGTAGCTGTTGTCCAGAGATGTCTCTCTCTTGGCTTCATGTGGCCTTTCTGTAGGGCAGCTCACAACATAGCAGCAGTTATCATCAGAGTAAGCAATCAGAACAGTAGATAGAAGAGGACAAGTAAGATGGAAATCACAGCTTTTGTAACATCTTGAAAGTAACATCCCATGACTTGCCTTATGTTATTTCTTAGAGGCATGTCATAGGTCTAGCCCACAGTCAGGGGAAGGGGATTACATCAGGGCATGAGTACTTGTAAGTGAAGATCATTAAGAGTCATTTCAGATGCTGCTAACCACAGCAGTTGAGTGTAGACTCCATATGTTTTGGAGGAAAGTGAGAAAGACTAAGATCCAGAGACTTTTAAGAGCTTTGCTAATTTTGCTTCTGTCTTTGCCCAAGCACCTTGGTTCAGTCTTTTGCTTTCTTCTTTTTTTGCCGTAGTGGCAAAAACCGCAATTACTTTTGCACCAACCTAATAGCACTTTGCTTCATGTTTGCTGTGTTGTTGTTTCCTTTTGAGAGAATTTACCCTGAAAATAGCCTTGCTTATGTGTTCACCTGCTTCTGCCAGCTTTGCGCATTATGACAACCTGGTATACTATCATGAAAGGTGACAGGATCCCAGAACTGATTTTTGAGCTGAAAGGCTGCTGCTTTCTGTAAGCAATTTTACAAATTATGGACAAGACTATATTTACATATGTAGGGTGGAGGCTGGTACTTTTGGAAACCGTTCCTTGAGGTTATTTGTTTGTTTGGTTTTTGAGAGAGTCCTGTCTGTCGCCCAGGCTGGAGTGTGGTGACGAGATCTTGGCTCACTGCAACCTCCGCCTCCCTGGTTCAAGCAATTCTTGTGCCTCAGCCTCCTGAGTAGCTGGGACTACAAGTGTGCACCACCATACACAGCTAATTTTTGTGTTTTTTTTAGTAGAGACTGGGATCTCGCCATGTTGGCCATTCTAGTCTCGAACTCCTGACCTCAGGTGATCCACCTGCCTCAGCCTCCCAAAGTGCTGGGATTACAGGCATGAGCCACCACGCTGGGCCCCCTGTTCCTTGAGTTTTAAATAAAGATTTACAAGTTTCTGGGAAGAATGAACTCTTAAAAATTTAAAGGACAAGAATGGTTTTGATCACTTTAGCGCTCTTTGCACTGTTATGTGGAGCATAAAACAAGTGAGGCCTTCATTAGGCTGACATTCTTTCTTCTGGAATACAAAAGAGTAGTTGCTCTTGCTTTGCACAAAATACAGGAGAAAAAAAAATCAGAATTTTAGTTGGAGAAAGGGTATAACCAATGGGGAAAGAAATTTTATTTGTAATCTTCGGACAGGACATTTTTCTTTCTTTCTTTTTTTCTTTTCTTTTCTTTTCTTTTCTTTTCTTTTCTTTTCTTTTCTTTTCTTTTCTGTTCTGTTCTGTTCTGTTCTTTTCTTTTTTTGGAGACGGAGTCTTGCTCTGTTGCCCAGGCTGGAGTTTAGTTGCACGAACTCAGCTCACCGCAACCTCCCCCTCCTGGGTTCAAGGGATTCTCCTGCCTCAGCCTCCCAAGAAGCTGGGACTACAGGCGCCCGCCTCTATGCCCGGCCAATTTTTTTTTTTTTATTTTTAGTAAAGACAGGGTTTCACCATGTTAGCCAGGATGATCTTGATCTCCTGACCTCGTGTTCCTCCCGCCTCGGCCTCCCAAAGTGCTGGGATTATAGGCGTGAGCCACTGTGCCCGGCCTTGCAGCGGACAGGACATTTTTGAGACTAAAAGGAGAAAAATAAGTTTAAAAATAATTCTTGAATTGTCCTTTGCATAGTTTACATTAATTTTCAGTATCCCCTCTGTGACCTGATTTGACAGTTATTTTACCTAGGTGTGATGTTTTTGAATACATTTATTGAGAACCTGTTGTGCTAGGCACTCACCAATAATATTTCTAATCATCACAGCGACTTGAATGATATTTTCTTTATCAATGAAAAGAGAATGAGGTTCTGGGCAGTTTAGTAAAATTTCCTAGGGCACTTCAAAGTTGTCTAGTTCAGTGCTCCCCGACCCTAATGCTTAGCGTTGATCAGGGCTCTTTCCCATTTTACCCTGATCCCCACCCTCCCCCAAATGCCCTTAGGGCAATAAGCGGTATACCAGGAAGACTGCTACTTTTAACTGTTCATTTTCAAGGAAACTTAAGTATCTGCGCAATTAAATACCAGACAAATGTGTGTTTTGTCCTAACCTTGTTTAATTAGTAAACAACAAATTAGGTCCTTAAGAGCAAAGTGTGTGGCAAACTGCTTTGGTCCAGGCAGTAGCCCATGTCCATGAGATAGATTATAGAGCCACTTAAAGGTAGATGAAAATTATGCTGAGAAACCCAGAAATTAGATTTGGGAAGTAGAGATTTATTTTAGTGAGAGCAGAGTTTAATTATTTTTCCATTATCATTGGGTTATGGGTTAAATGGGAAAGTTAAAACCTTTATTGTCAAGGAGAGGAAATGTTTTGTGCTTTCTGGTTTTTTATTGTGTTCCTCTGAGAAATTCAACTCTCCAGGTATTTTTGTGCTCAAAAATGGTGGTTAAATACTATCTGAAACGTCTTAGTTTCCTGTGTAATAGCAGTTGAAAACATAATTAGAGGAAATAAGAGGGGGCATTTTAGCCAGTAAAGCTGATGACCAGAACCAAGAGTGATAGAGTTCTGTGGAATTTTACTTTGTAAGCCTGATCACTGGTGCTTTGATCTAAAACTGTACTGTGTTTTGCTTGAAGGGTACTTTGCATTTTTTTTGTTGAAGCTAGTATAAACTTCTCATGTTGGCTTATGGCCAGCGATCCCTGTGTTTCTCTGAAGCATGGAGTGATTTGTGAAGTCACTTTAATGGCATTACCAAGTATTGTTAAAAAATTAATGGAGGTTGGGAGATTTTATTTCCCTTCCAGTAATGAAGGAATGGCTTTTCTGTCCTTCCAAAATCTTGGAATAGCTTAGTGTTGTGGTTGGGAAGTATTTTGGTTAATGGAGTCTCTGTGTATAAAGGAAGTGAATTTTGCCTTTGGCATTCCATAGCTGAGGTTCATAGCTGGGTTCATGCTCCAGCTTAAGTAACTTTGTCTGGTAGTTAGTACACATAGAGAAGTGTTTTAATAGTTGTAGATACTTTCTTTTTCAATAAGAGTCTACTTTGTAGTTAGCTAATAGGGTCACTATTAGTTCCTTCCCCCCCTCCTTAAAAATCTTGGCATGGGTTAATTGAATAATTCTAGTTATTTAAGTTGAGCCTCTATTGGATGGTTTGATCAGTGTCCCCACCCCCGCCCCCACCTTGCCTTAGGCCTCTCTGTGACATTTACCAAATATATAGTAGTGCTCTGACCACAGTTGTGTAGTTGGAACACTTTGATTAAAGACCTTCAGGGCACGTGAGCATCTTCAGTACCCTTGTCTAAAAGAACGTGTTGACTGCTGTACTTTCATCCTTTATGAATTCTTTAAAAGCATCTATTATTTTTAATTTGCAGCAGCTCTTGCCAGGTAAAAAGTTTTGGGAAACAGATGAATCCAGCAAAGATGGACCAAAAGGAATATTCCTGGGTGATCAATGGCGAGACAGTGCCTGGGGAACATCAGGTAATCTAGATCTAGCATCTGTACTGTGATTTATGCCTGTCTTAGAGCTCCTTTCCTCAGCAATTGGCAAGTCATGAATTTTACATCAGTGACATAAGCATGTCAAGCAGTGTCCTCTCCTGTAGTGTAATTGCCATTAAGGAGCTTATATGATGTAATTTATTAAAACATAATTAACACAAAATCAAATCTTCAATATTTTTTGAAGTGCTAGCCACAGGGGAATGGTCTTATTTGAAACGACCATAATTTCAGCTGTAACGTTTTGTTCTGTACTGCTGTCAGCATACTTGGAATTAGAAAATCCACACCTGCCATTTGAAGTTCATGTTTCTTTTTCTCCCATTGCCCTTGTGTACCGTGTATGGAATGATCTATCTTTAAACGTGATTGGGACTAAATCAAGCCACTGGGCACGGACATTCTTCTGGCATACTACCCCTGAAGAGGGATGGGGAGAACTTATAGAGGCAGACACACTGACAGCAGAAAAAGTGACAGATGATAGGGAGGAAGGAGACAGAAAACCCAAACCAGTGTCGTGTATTACAGCACAACGTAAGCATGGAACCTCATGATGGCAGTGAATTATCAGAAAAGAACAAATTACATTGTTTTTAAAAAGGGCAGTAAAATCATATTTTGTTTTAGTAATACTAATAAAATATATTTTAAAAATCCTTTTACTTATAAAGGGATAAACATTTTATCCACTCAGCTAGATAAACCAGATAAGCGAGATAAACTGTTGTATTCCTCTGCTATCCCGGATAAATGAGGAGTGTGTTCCATTTCCTTAGCTTATGTTGAATATCATACAGCGAAAGACACGATAGGAGGTTTTGGCTCAACTGACCTTGGCAAGTTTCCTGATTCCATTGGTTTATCCATGAGACGTCACTCATAATTTGTTTGAGCCTCTGGCTGCACTGTATCATGCTTGTGTATCTTTTTTGTAGATCATTCAGTTTCCCAGCCAATCATGGTGCAGAGAAGACCTGGTCAGAGTTTCCATGTGAACAGTGAGGTCAATTCTGTACTGTCCCCACGATCGGAGAGTGGGGGACTAGGCGTTAGCATGGTGGAGTATGTGTTGAGCTCATCCCCGGGCGATTCCTGTCTAAGAAAAGGAGGATTTGTAAGTTGGCTTGAGGAACTTGTTCCTATCTCTCTCTCTCTCTTTCTTTTTTCCCCTAAAGCAAAACATGCCTGTTTAGTTTCCTTAGATATTCACAGCATTAATTACAGGGTATTTTCAAACAACATTTGTTGTAAATAGAACTCAGCAAACATAGTAGGAGATGTAAACTAAACTTTTAAAAACTAAACTAATAATGTTTTCGGGGGGACACATTGATAGTCATGTGAGATGAGAACTGAAATCTCAATCACAGTTCATTGGTCTATCAGAAAACACCATTTTTACTTTAAAATAAAAACAAAAGGAGGGTGGTGAAGGAATTTAAAACATAAAGCTGATGATGGGATGTTAACAGGGAATTCAGGTTTGAGAGCAGTGATTTGCCAATACCTGAGAAACCTTAATATAGATCAGATTATAGGGCTATTCTTGTTTTGTTAGCTACGATTTAATTATAGAATCCTCTTTGGCCCTCCTTGAACGGCTTTGTTTCTCACACCTGGCCTGTCAAGAAGTTAGGGATTCTGTTAATTCTTTCTTATGAATTTTCCGATGCTAAATTGTAGTCAAATAAGTCTCTGTGTCTATAGCCTCTTTCTTTTTAAGTCTTAAGCATTTTTCCGTGAGCATCTGTGATAGCCTTTCTCAAAACAATTTCTTTATCATTAACTTTCTATATTGAGAAGTCTTAAGATGTATTTCCATTTGAGTCTTCCTCATTTTGAATTCTGTGACTGTTGCCATATTCCAAGTCACAGATAGGAAGGCCATGAGAGGCACTTGAATCTGTCTTCCCTCCCTTTCTCCTGTCTAAACTTGTTTTGTACTTTTTCAAAGCCATTTCTCTGAAGTCATTTCGGGCTGATATCACCTGATAGTGGTCATTTAAGAGATTTTAATATAATTCTTTCTCACAAATTATATTAATAATATTATAACTTTCTTTAATAGCATTTGTTGCTCAGTATTTCTTAGTGTTATACATCTTTTGCTGGGTATCAGAGGCTTGGTCCTGTTTTCCCTAATCCACGTTAGATTTTGTTAGAGAAACAGTAGTTCATTTTTGGTGCAGCTTCCTCAAGTGTCAAGTGCAGTTCTTAAGTACTAGCTATTCTAAAGCTGACCTGATTGCTTTTCGGTGTTTTGACCCTGCAGAGACCTAGGTCGGGTTTAGTAGCTTGTGAATCAGATAGGAGATGGCTCCTTTTATTTGAACCTTCCCAAGGGGCTGCTTGGGAAGAACAAGATCTACCCTTTGGATGTGAGTTATTTCTCTTTTTTCACCCTATCCCCAGCTTACCTCTTTTTCTGTCCTCACTCTTTCCTCATCTTATGAGCACAGATTCCTCAGCAGAAATTAGTGGTGTGTGTCAGTAGGTTGCTAGTGTGGTGAACTGGAACCTGTGACTCTAGCTGTGAATTCTCTGTCGTGTGTGATCAGTTTCCAATTCTTGGGCACTAACCAGGAGGCGTGTGCCTGCATTACTGTGAAGCTTGTAGGAGGCAGAAAAATAGTTGGAATTAGGAGAAAGATACATGGTGGGATTGAATCATTTTGCCACTTATTTTTCTCTTTTTAAACAATCATCTCATACAGTTATTTTGATGACAAAAACTGTATCATTTGTCCTGGGAGACTGGTGATTTACCTCTATTACAAAAGAATTGTGACTAGAGGAGATTAAGACTTCAGGCTAGATAGATGGGGTCAGAAGATTGGACTCTAACCATCAAGATAATTTACTGAGCTTCTGAGGTATGCATAAAGATAAATGAAAATTTTGAGGTATGCATAAAAATAAATGAAAATTCTCCAAATTTGTGTTCCAGCTTCTTTTAGAAGGAAGATCATGGGTAATGGAATATTATCCCATAGTTTAACTTAGATTGCATCTATAGAGTGATAGAAGCAGACTGATCTAGTGACATCAAGCCACTTGTTGGCATATACAGTCTTCTGGTGTCTGGAGACCTGTGGCTCAGTGAACCGGTTATCTTTATTATCGTTATTATTATTGAGATGGAGTTTCACTCTCGTCGCCCAGGCTGGAGTGCAGTGGCATGATCTTGGCTCATTGCAACCTCCACTTCCAGGGTTCAAACGATTCTCCTGCCTTAGCCTCCTGAGTAGCTGGGATTACAGGTGCCTGCCACCATGCCCAGCTAATTTTTGTATTTTTAGTAGAGACGGGGTTTCACCATGTTGGCCAGGCTGGTCTCAAACTCCTGACCTCAGGTGATCTTCCCACCTTGGCCTCCCAGAGTGCTGGGATTACAAGCATGAGCCACTGCGCCCGGCCAGTGAACTGATTATCAGCTTTGTGGTTGTATCCTCTTGATTTTATACCTAACCTGGCTTTGCTCTGCCTGTTGGTCAGGATGACACCTGACCAAAGCTCTTTTTGTGGAAGCCTGGGTCACTTTGTGGTTGTCATAGTATTGTATGCCTCTTCTTGAGGAAAGTGAGCCTTTTCTTTTTAAGTCTAGTCTATCATTTAAAGTGTTGAATTCAGAGAACCAGGAAGATAGGATATCGGCTTCTTGTAGATAATTGTTCTAAAGGAGGAGTTGTACTTGGTAGTATATGGGGTCAGGGCATACAGGTATTTTTACTTTTGGGGTAGCTGTATCAACATTAACTCCAGTAAGCCTCACTTAAATCCTGAGAGCTGAAAACATCATCTCTGACGGTATAGTGATTGTAGACCTCAAAGCAAGTAACTAAGAAGTTACTCTTACACACTGACAACAGATAATCTATACTCTTAACTTTTCAGGTAAAGGTGGTTCAGAACTAAAATAAATCTATAGTGGTTTACCATTTTCAGTGAACTTTCCTGGTTATAGCTAGATTGAAGCTGTTTAGCTCTTTGTCTAGCTTGAATTCATTTTGATTGTACAAATGGTCTCCATTTAGTGGTTTTGGCTTCTGTGATAAGAGTACATTCTGGCTAACAAGAAGAATCTGGCAACCATATTTTGTTCTGAGCATTCGCTGTAAATTTTTGGTAGTATTCTACGTAGGAATCTCAAACTTCAGGAGAGCAGCTTTCAGAATAATAGAGCTCAAAATATCAGTCAAATCTTTTACTTTTCTTTTCATATCCTTTATTTTATTTATTCTTGGAGTAGAACAGGTGCCCGCCCCACAGCCCCCCATGGTTCAGGGTGGTTACAAAATGAGATGTAATTATTGTTTTTTTGAGGCCTGTGGGTGAGATTGCCATCTAAGGACCCTGCTGTCTGGAATACCAGCTGATCTTTTTCAAATAGGTGGAAGCCTAGTCAGCCACAAAGTGGATCATGATTTCTACCTTTCTGGTTTATGGTGCCCAGGGAAATGAGAAGACCACTCTAAACTTCGATTAGGGTAATGACCAACTTTAACCTCACAGAAGAAAGATTTTTAGAAAAAATATATTGGGAAGGTCTTTCTGTTTGTTCTGTAGAGAGTATCTGCTTTTTGATCTATAGGGTATGTACACATTCATAGCATACATCTATTTGGGCTGTGAAACTTGATGACTTGTTTGTCGAGGTTTCACTGCATTTACTTTAGGTAATCAGTGCTACTACTTTACTTTCATAGGTTTTGTTTGAAAACTTCCGTACAGTGTAATGCAGATAGAAGTCAGGGGTTTGAGTTTCCAATGGACCTTAATTCATCTGCCAAATGGGTATAATCAAAACTCGACAAAGTAATTCACATGGCTATGTAGCATATGTGAAAATGCTTTGTAAACATTAAAAGTCTTACTACTCAAAGTCAGTGGGCCAACAGCATTAGCATCGCCTGGGAGCTTATCAGAAACTCAGAATCTCAGATCATACCTCAGAGCGAATGAATCAAAACCTGCATTTTGACAAGACCACCCAGATGATTTGTATGCACATTAAAGTTTGATAAGCACTGCTATCATACACATATCTCAGAAAACTCGGCTGGACAACGAGTCTAATGATTAGAACCTTAAAAGTTTCCTGGGAGAAAAAACATAGTATGTCCAGCAATTTTTAAGCCTTGGTGGGGAGGACTGGTGAGGGCACTGTGAAAAAGGCAATGGGGAAAAAATGTGAAAATTGGATAAAGTATTTTTTTAAGAAGACAACTGTACTTTCATGAATTTCCTTATTTAGTCCTTGGAACAACACTTTGAGGTAGATACTATTGTTTCTATTAATTTATAGATGAGAAAAATGAGTCTTTAGAGGGGAAGTGGGGGACTGAATTCAAACTTTGTTCTAATTTCAATTTTTAGCTATATTGCTTTCTACTGTGCCATACTGGCGTTGTTTGTGAGTAGAAATCCTCAAAAAAGGATCAGATTTAATATGTTAAGAAGTATTTCACGTGGCTAGCAGTTTCAAACTTACAATTTTTAATATTTGAAAAAAAAATTTTTTTTTTTTTTTTAAATTTTTTTGAGACAGTCTCTTTCTGTCGCCTGGAAAGGCTGGAAGGCAATGGTGTGATCTTAGCTCACTGCAACTTCCACTTCCTGGGTTCAAGTGATTCTTGTGCCTCAGCCTCCCAAGTAGCTGGGACTACAGGAGTGCATGCATCACCACAGCCAGCTAATTTATATTTGAAAATTTGAATTACCAGTAGAGCTTGGCATTGTTGTACTTTAAAGGAATTAGACATTTCAGTTATTTGGCATTTTGTGAAAATGGGTAAGTGTGTGCAGGAGAAACCAATGTTTTAGTTAACACTGTTACAGTTTTTGGACTCAGTGTTTCAAGCAGGTATAAAATACTTCTTTGTAGAAAGAAGGGAGGAAAATTACTAATCCCGTTAAATATGACTTCTACTGTGTGAAGCTTTCTTTTAAGATCACTGCAGTTAAGAGTAGTAAATAGATTTGAAATCTTCTGATTTCATTCAGAATAGATATATTGGGAAGTATTCCCCCCCTTATGTAAGTCTTTTGAGGAAGCTGAGCCATAAGTGCATGGATTCTGACCTCAACAATATGTAGTCCTAACTCCGTCTGCTT